AGAAAAACCAAAATAAACCCAACATAAAAAGTTATCACATAACAGGACCTCTCACAGAAACCGCACGAAATCATACTCCCACTCCTGGCCTAACCCACCAGAGAGGACGTCCTGAGCATGCTCTATAGCCGGCCTAACCCACCGCGCTACATCCACGCTTTGTGACCACACTTCTATTTTTAATAAGAGGTACTCAAGGGTGAGTAACTCTTCAAAATAACCGAACTAAAACAAAAAGCTTTTGTGAAAACAACTAACCAAAATCATAATTAAAACACCAAACTAATAAAAATTTTATAAAATGTAAATTATACCTTGCAGTATATAGATCAGCATACAACACCAAAGACGAACATCCAAAGACAAAATGACCCCACTACACTCGAAAAAGAATGGCCAACCACAATCAATATGCCGCCCACAATCACAACTCAAAGGATTTAGAGTACGACTTGACTTCGCAGAAAAGGACTTCATTGAACTAGAACAATGACCACCTCGATGTCTAAGTATACGTACAGATCCGAGTAACCAGGCATCCCCTCCACGCACAATCTCCACGCCATTCCCAGACAAGGTCAACCCAAAAGAAGTTCTCTACATGGAACAGAAAAACCTGTCATAGCCAACCATTCTGAAATCAGATTTGAGTTTGTTGCGAAAACCCAGTCGTTGTCATGAGAAGACACAGCGATTGAGCCTGGAACTTCTCTAACAAGAGAACCCAGAAGAAATATGATGTTCGCCAAATACCAACGTCCATCATCCATCCTTTGAACTGCAGAAAGACAATTCTAAAAAACTCTGTAAAACCCGGATGGGTGGAACCTGATATAAACTACATTTTATGATTGGATAAATTAGATATTTTACCACTGTAAAGTATTTAATATTAACCAATCATGATCCATCTAACTAACAACCCACTTATTTGTAAGTGCTGGAATTACTTGTAATTTCAGCACCAGAGAGATTTGAATTTAACTTAGAATTTAGTTGCCTCTCCAAAGGAACTTCAGCAGCCGCAATAAACCAGTATACCCTAGATCTATTGAGCCTAGCAGAGACTAGTTAAACAACCTGAGACTAGATAGTATAAGAGTAAGATTAGGATCGGTATTAGACTACGAAGTTGCACGAATCTATCCGGCCGAAAATAAGATAGCGTGACGAGCAGACGGTGTACTCTATCCGAAATTACTCTATGAGTTAACCACATCGGTCATAACTCAATACCATAAACGATTAAGTTGAGCAAAATTGATCTTTTATTCGGAATTAAACTGATGTTAAATATGTATTACGACTAGCATTGCCATCAGCGATCATAGTGTTGAAATCGGGCGAACAGATTGCCGAGTATTGACCCGAGTCGAAATGTTTGCCGGCTTCTGAACTTAATTTTGTTACGGAAATCATAACTTAAATGTTGAAAACTGTCAATAGATAACTTTTAATATTGATACAGATATGTTATCTCAAACAAAAAGTGATGTTGATATTTTATATGCCGATTTATTTGTTTTCACAGAGATCACAAAAAGTTCTCATAAAAGTTATTGGCCCAACAACGAGGTGGGAAAGAATTTTGTATTTGGGTTTTTTTTCCACGCAAAATCAGGTACAACAAAGACAAAAGTTCAAGTGCCATATCTCTTTGAAGCCACCTAAGAGGTAACTTGGACTGACAACAAAATTCCAAAAAAAAAATTTCTCGGTACTGATGTTGAAAAAATGGTTTTAATGTTTTTGATTTTCTGACCGTTTTATTTTGATTTTCAAATTGAATATTCGTTGAAAAGTCTCGTTACACCACCATCGACAGCAATTAGGAGAAAAAGAAAACAAAAAACATTTCAGCAACTCTTTTTAACTGGTCATTGATGACCGAATTACCACTTCACTCCAATAAATTCTTAAAATGAAAAATAACAAATGGAACCAGTTTGAAACTAGTATTTATATCCAACTATATAATTGATAAAACTAACTCTATAAATTATTTCTAACTAACCAATCATGATCCATAACTGTCAAATTCCTTGTTACCAAGAAAGGATGTATTTTACAATTTCATTTATATGTTTGAAATTTAAGTCTGATTTTTGTCTAGCTAGTTAAAATTACAGAATCTGCTCCAAATTTTAAAAAAACTTCATGAACCATCAGTTTCACTTTATTTTTTTAAATTCGAATGTATATGCTACATTTTTTGTCCAAAACTTTTTATAAACACTGAGATGACTTTCCCAAACGTTCATTTTATCTAAGACTACATTGTTTTCTGTCGTGAATTTTGTAAATGTTTTGCGACTGTCATCATCTTGCAGCCAATGACGCCGGGACACAATTTTGGAAAAAAATGTTCTTAGTTGTGTTTTTTTTCTCGATAAAGTTTTTGGCTCTGTTAATGAATATTTTTAAAAGATGTTTTTTGAACTGTTTTAATGATTTAGAACAGTTTTGATTATTTTAATAGAACTCAAATTTTTTTGTAACGACTTTCGAAGAAAATTTGAAAAACTTGTGCTCAGGCAAAATCTTTTTTTTCACCAGACAAATTTCAACTTTTCAAATTGCCAATTTTGAAGAAAAGGTAGGGAATTTTAGATTTGGCGGTGGAAAAGAGATTTAGCTGTGGAGAATGCAAGGTAAAATGCATCACTTTGTACTTTAAATAGCATATAACTTTTTTTAAATTTCGGTTTGTATTTTTTCTGGAAATTCTTTGAAGTTTAGATGTAGAAAACTATAACATAGACGTTAAAAAATAGTCTTGGCTCTAATATGAGCAGTCCTGTATCATTAGTTGTCAAAAAGATTATGCGTGAACTGAAATAGGCGCGGTATTTTTTTCAGCTTACTACAATGACGGGACCTAGAAGTATCAGCTTTTTGATTTCAACAAACAAATAGACCATTTTTTTAGTTTTTGTTTTTTTTTCTCTGCAAATATTCAGAATGTAGGACTGAAAATTGAAATAATCACTTGAAATAGCGTAAACGAACACGTGATATTTGTTTTGAATATGCAGACAATAGAATTTCTTGGCGCTTATACCAGAGATTTGGTCCAAATTTGGAGACAACATAACTACTGATGAGAATCTTGTACATCGGAGCATTCGTTTTTTTTTTGTTCAAAAAGTAGCTGGAGGAGTTCTTTTGTTGTTTCGTTTCGACCATCATCGCAATATTAGTTATATTTATTTAGTCGTTTCTTGACGCCAGACCGATTAATTCTTTTGATTTTTGTCTGTTGTTTTTCCGCGGCAAAAAGATTAAACCAAACTCATCAGTTTTTCAAGAAAACAATTTGAGCCCTTATTTTTAAAGTCGTTGTGTTGTTTGCGAGGATATTTCGACAGCAAGAACACCTTCGAAACTATTTATAATGTACTGGTTTGTTACACTATAAAAACATTAAATTCTCAGTTTTTGACCAATTTCTTTCAAACAAAATATCCAGCATATGTCAAAATTTAAACCCTAATTTTTGATTAGATGCAGAGAAAACGATAGAAACGTGGAGAAAAATTTGTTCAATTGATAAAGTAACTACTTTTCTCTCCTGTGACTAAATTAAAGCGCAGATGAAGAAAAAAAAATTCTCGGCAAGCACTTCTCAATTAATTTAAGGCAGTCTAATTGGACCAAACAGGGCATGTGATGCCGAATGCATCAATATGGGGAATGCAATTTTGAACTATCTTTTTTGAAAACAATTTTCAAATTAGTTTTAAAAATGGGCGTTAGGCACTTACAACAAAAATAGATCACATCTGGGGGTGGTGGTTTGACTTATCAGCAGGTGTATCTATTAGAATGTCTATGAAAAATTAACAATGACTTGCTCGCTTTTTCGATACTTGCTCACTGGAACAGGTGCACTGAAGAAGCGTGCATGCTGACAAAAAAAATTTTGGGTGAAAACGAAAAGATACTTTACCCGTACGCAAATACAGTTATTTCCTTTTAAATGAAAGTTTACACGAAAATAAGTAAAATGATTAGGACAAATAACTGAGTACTTGTGCTTAACGCTACGCCTCTGATCTTATATCTTTTTGTTAAAAATGCTCATTTTGAAACGCGTATTTTGAAGTTGTTCAATGTGTTTAACTGTTCAATTAGTTAATATGGTATAGTCAGAGTCGAAGCTTTGCTCCACAAATACTTGCATGAAAAGGAAAAAAACACCTCTATAAAGTTCATTAATAAAAATTAGAAATAAGCCTCGAATTAGCAAAAATTCGGTTACTTGTGAGATGCAACCTGCGACCTAGAGATTAAGGTCTCAAACACTGACCACGCAGCCACGAAAGTTTAATAGGAACCATTATTCTCACAAATAAAGCAGAGAACAGATGCTATTCAATATCCAACGCTACAGTGAAATTTATGAATAAATGAACACTTTTATTTGCGAGTTAGGTTCGAAAAAAAGAACGTTCGTTATAATACACTAAGCTGATAGCAAGTGTAAGAATAAATTGACGTTGCTCAAAGTGTTTACGCAGAAAGTTTGGAAATATATCAAAATAGAAATCGATTTATTGTTTTTCCCCGACCACTTTGCAAAATAAAAGGAACTATGTGCTAGAAGTAAATTGTTTTTCATTAATTCTGAAAACCACACGCAAAAAACATTCTTTCTTCTGTTTTGGTATTCGGTGAATTTACGTTGTTCGGATCATTCTGTGCTATGTGCACTTCTTATTAAAATAGTTAGATATTTATATGCATTTTGTTTGAATGTTAAACTTGGCTCGAAGAAAAAGTTTTCTTGTTTGATAAAACTAACCGCAAAATACCCCATATTCAACCTTAGCCTTCCGAAAGATCAACCGTTGGCACTGGAAATCCTAAAGAAATAAAAATCCTAAATCACACCCCACCTCAGACACTGATTTTTATGTTTTAGAATTTCTAAAGAGGTTTAAGTAGTTCAATGTTCATCTACATTTTAGATCATTCATTTAATGAGATCTTCTTTTCAGTGATTTCGATAATTTCGAAGACTGTGATGACCAACCTGAAGACAAGCGACTGAGTGACACTGATATCTTCTGGACATACGAAGAAGGGGACAAGCGAATCAGGGAAGACTTGATTTCAGGGGAGAGCCTGAAAAAGTACCTGCAGTTGATAGGCAGACAGTCTGGACAGGTCTCCTACTTGAAGTTCTATCATTTTGTGATTGAGGCTAATGAGAACTACAGAGACTTGGATGAAGATGGAGATATCGAGGACCCAACAGAGGTAATTATACACAAGATTTCGAAGGGGTCAATTTTTTGGATGGGATGATCAGCGTTTCGAAAGTTGACGGCTCGGAAAATTCTTCTAAAACTATTTCAACGCACTTTTTGACAATGTTATCAAAATAATCGAACCCAATGTTTAAATTTATGGAAAATTAGCGTGTAAAACAAATTTGATGGTTCATAATTTTGAAACATAGCTCCTCGCAGTTAGTTCCTTCCATCCCATCATAAAAAAAACCTTTAACCCGCACAGTTTACGAAAATATCAAAGAATTAATTTTTGATTCCTTTTTACAGATCATTTCACCCCGAGAGATGTTCGAAAAGATAGCGCCCAGGGGCCAGGAGTTCATCAAGGTCAAGGACTTAGCCAACGTCTCCCAGGCGGTGTGGGAAGAGTTAGCTCACTTGGTAACTCCCCCACACAGCCACGAGATAGTCAGGGATGAACTGTGAAAAGAGCAAAGACGGACGGCATCGTCATCGACTTATTCTATTGATTGCATAATGTTCGAAAAGAGACTGAGGTTGCATGATGCGTCATTCAGATGATGATCAAGCAAATGCTTGCCTAAATATGAAAATGTAAAAAATGTTAAATTATTTGAAAATATTAATCTTTAAATTTAAAAATATTATTGCATCTATTTATTTACGTGTACTGTTCATATTATAAAATTTAACATTAATTGAAAAATTTCACTTTTTACTTCAAGCTTTATGCAAAAAATCAAAAAATTAGATAGCCTGAATATTTTGGAGTATAGTTCCGATCAGTTTTTTCAAGTTTTTGGGGATAATGAGATGAAAAGAGATTTCATGCAATCCATTTTTCCTAAACAATTTAAATAGATTCAAAAAACTCAAATATAAATTTTAAGGTGTGAGAGTGTTAACTTCAAAAATTGTTGTTACTTGATCTAAATTGGTATAGAAGTAAATAATTTCTGCCTTTTTTCTGGACAGGATAAATCGTCTGCAGTTTTTTTTGCCGCTCCAAAGAGATTTCAATTGATAAAAATCGCATCCAAATCTAACCGTTTACTTGAGGCAACCAAATTTGCGTAGAAAAAAAAACAAAATTGCTGTACGTCTACACCTACGGTGCTCGTAGCGAGACTTGGATAAAGATAGAGATATCGAGGACACAAGCGAGGCAATTATACTCAAGATTTCATCGAGGTCAATTTTTTTGGATGACCAGCATTTGATAAATAAATTTTATCCAACTTTTTGTAAAAACGAACTTTGCTTTAAAAAGTGCCACTTCTTTTCTCAATCGAAAAAATTAAAGGCTTGGAAATTTCTATTATAATTTTTTCAAGCAGTTTTTGACAATGAGACAAAAATATGGTTCAATATATGGAGCATTATGAGGAAAATCAAATTATTGTTTCATAATTTTGAAACATAGTTCCTCGCAATTACACAATTACAACCATAAGAAGACCATTAACCAGCTCATTGTAAAAAATGTCATCATTAATTTTTGATCCCCTTTTGCAGATCATTTCTCCCGGATAGATGTTCGAAAAGATAGCGCCCAGGAGTTCATCAAGGTCAAGGACGTAGACAACGTCTCCGAGGCGGTGTGGGAAGAGTTAGCTCACTTGGTAACTCCCCCACACAGCCACGAGATAGTCAGGGATGAACTGTGAAAAGAGCAAAGACGGACGGCATCGTCATCGACTTATTCTATTGATTGCATAATCTTCGAAAAGAGACTAAGGTTGCATGATGCGTCATTCAGATGACGATGAAGCAAAAAAAAAATAAAAACAGTGAAGTTAGTGGGAATGAAAAGAAATTTATCACATTTTTTCAACATATATTTTTCTATATATACATATGTTTTTAGAAGATATTTTTCATATTTAGGCAAGAATTTGCTTTCCTAAATATGAAAATCATCTTATATTTTTAAATGCATACATAGAACTATTAATGTAGAAAAAATATGATGAATCATTTAATTTCCAGTAATGTTACTGCTGTGTATTACAGAGTGATATCAGAGAGTGGCTCAATTAATCTTTAAAGCGAGGAGTATTTCTGAAAACTTATAAGGCTGGAGATTTTTTCTCATATGGCCAAGTGATCTCTATTCTGAGCTTTCTACACGCTGATAAAAAACCTCCAAACACATCAAAAACCTCGATATAAATATTTTTTTCATTTCTTGCCGACCACACGTGTTGAAAGTCGGAAACTATCGAGTTAAATTACCACAGTCGATTAACTGTCTGGCGTCCAATTAAGATGGAGCTTTGAAAGTCAGAATGGAAAACTGACAACATCTGCAAAATAATGCAAAACAGAAGAAACTTCATTAAAAACTTGAATTAGCTTATTCAATAGAGTCTCCTCGGTTCATGTGCCTTATTGGTGCATGCGTCTAATTCGCGAGTCATAATTTTTTGGGATTTTGGTATGCCTGGAACAAAAAGGGACGTTTAGACACAACTCCCCTCTACCATCTGCACCTTTGTCAATCAAATTATAGCCAGGTGTGTGAACTAAGAAAAGAAATATATTATTTATAGTTTTGCTCAATTGTTTGCAATATCATTGACCTTGAGCATCTTAGATCTGAAAATTATGATTTTTAGGAATTTATATGTTTTGATACGGTCTTAGCGTGTTAAAAAGAGTGAAAAAAGGTTTCTGTCTTGAAAATCAATTTTAGTTTCATTAACTAATCAAATTCATTGGCCCAAAAACATATAGTGAACAATTTATTGTCATGATTGATTCTTAATTTATTAGCAATTTAGATCTTAATGTCCCGTAGCTAATGTGAGTACGTCGTCATAAGGTTCGTGCAATTAGTATATCGAAACGACTCTTCATTCGAGTTGATTGACAGCGACATGGTACTACACGTACAAGTGATGAGCACAAACATCACTCTGCCACTGAACGGGTTGTGTACTGGTTCCACTTGCACAGAACAGGGAAGGAGGGATCTATTGCTGCAGATGAATATCACTCCGTCATGTAGTAATGAAGGGGAGTTAGAATCACTCTTCTGTTTGCCAGCTGAAAACAAAGCCACAAACACTACAGGAGTTTATTTTGACATGAAGTTCGATTTTCAAAATTGCGTTCACAATAGCGTTTTGGAACCCACTGAAAAATCTCCCACCTAAATCAATTTAAGGTGAGATTTTACTTGGTTAAAAGTAATATTTTCAGCCAGTCAGATTTGAGCATAGTCTATGCAGGCTTTACGGCTTGAGTTGGCCATTTATTTTTAGGGCGGAGATTGTTCACTTCGTCTATTTAGGGGGAGATTGTTCACACGGGCCGTTTTTTCATGCCTGTCAATGAATAAGCGTCGTTTTCATTACGCTGGTCTTGCTATCTGAACGACTATTCTGCAAAAAAGGTTCCCAATTCATATCAAACTTCATGGTGGGGATATTGTTCTCTATGCAACTGTTTACTTTTCGTGAGCGCTTCAAAGATTCCGCTGTTAGTTGTAGCCCTATTTATTCAAACTAATTGTCAAGGAAGTTTGTGGAGTCATAACACGGCCCGTGTGACCAATCTCTATCCCCAAAAACTAATTCAAGCCGTGATCAAATCTGATTGGCTGATTAATACTACTTTTAACAAGTTAACAATCTCTTCTCTAAATTGATTAAAGGAGAGATTGTTCACTTGGTCCGCAGAAACGTGTGGCCTGGAAATGAATTTATCCCAGACAATTATCCCACGGTTTGTCAACTAAACTATCATTTTCAAATTTAGATTAGTTCAAATAGGTTGAAAACGGTAACTTCCTAAATGGTATCATTCCCAAAATATTTTCAAATTTAGATTAGTTCAAATAGGTTGGAAACGACAACTTCCCAAATGGTATCATTCATAAAAATATTTCCCAAATGTCATAAACAATTTCAAACACAAAAGCGAAGCTGAGCTTCGCACCACTTGGGATACAAATATGAATAGTATGAAAATCAAATGGGAAAAAAACCGTTTATGTCGTTAAAAATTGCAACAAAAGCCCCAAAATATCCGGAACAAAACTGTCTGCACCAATAAAAGTTCTACAAAGCCGAGTTTTCAAAAAAAGTGTCTGCAAAACTGAGCAGACAAAAATAAGCAGACAGACCATAATCTAAATTAGCTAAGATTTTCTATTACCAAGAAAAACAAGTCTCAACCGGAACCGAACTCCCGGAATTTGTCGTTTCAAACATTGGGATTACACTTGTTGGAATAAAGCTGAACCATCCAGCACCGGGAACTAAGCCGTGAAAAACAAACAGATGGACGAAAATCCAAAAGAGCACAAAAACTCTAGTTTGCAAAGAAAAAAGCCCGGCCATGATTCGAACCGCAAATCTTTGCCATCTCAAGCAGGTGTTTTGTATCTACGCCAGATGGTTGAATAATTTTATGTTTATGATTACCAGGCCCTTCATGCCGAATACCAATTCAGAAAAAGTCAAAAGTTATAAAAAAAAGGCCCTTTCCCGTCAGAGCAAAAACAGACGCACAAAAACATTTTTTTTGGACGTAACGATGCAAAAGGAGGCAACTAAGTTGATATTATATAGGCAAAAATTATGAAACCGATAAAACAGACAAAAAAAGTGATTTTTCTTAAATCGAGCTTGTTAAATTTCAAAGTGAAAAACAATTTTCGATTGAACCATGTTTTTAAATGCTCATAACAACTGCAGTAAAAAAAATTTACAAACAACTAAAATAAACGATTCTTAGATGTAGCAACTAAGCCGACAAAACATAAACAGACAAATAATAAGCCTAATTTGTTTGAACCGGAACAATTAAAAGGAAAAAAAAATTGGTCCTGGTCATTTTCGATTTCAGGACCTTCGCCGTCCCAGGCCTATTCGTCGCCACATGGCTAAGCGCGCAAGAGAAACTACAAAATTTGAACTCATTTTGATTGCCGTTTAATTAGTCCAATGGACCTTGTGGACAGAGTTGTTTACAGGAAAAAAAAAAGTCTGGTACCCAATTGCAATACCCTTGCTATCGCAAGGGTAAAAATGCGATTAAATTTTGAGGCGTGAAAAAGTTAGATTTTTCCAAGACTGTTTTCGTGCCTAATTTTGTTCATGTGTTAACAAATTACCACTCAGTCAACAACTTTTACTTCTCGCAGAACTATTATCAGATTCTTATGAAAAAGAGCCAAATTGAAAATTTTAACAAAGGATGAGGTTCAATTTGTTTTCGGATGGATGCTGTTTTAAAAAAATTGAAGATCCAATCAAATTTGTTTGGATGTGTACTGAAACTTAATGCAATTCCAGGCTCAATTCAAATATTGAAACGGATACCTTGTTAATTCATACAACTTCACATGCCCATATGCCTGACTAAAACCGCTATAAAGATCTCACTTCAAAAAATAAAATTCTACTGGAAATTCTCCAAAAGCCACTCGAGTCAGTTGCCCACATTTTCAAAAAATTGCTTGCCCAGAACGAGTGAGTGATGCATTTCTTTTCTCATTCATAAATGTAGAAAAACGGCACTTTATCGCCAACTATACATTATGAAGCGTAAAATCCCTAGAAATGACAAATCATTGAGAGCTCGAAATGAATGGGCAGAAACGCAGGACGGTAAAAAATTTGATAAAAATCGACAGAGTGGGGTATTAACATTTTTTCTAGCAATTGGCAATTAAAAGCGCTTTGGGAATGTATGATAATTCTTTTTGATGGAAATTTTAATCACCACCAAAAATTTTATACGAAGTTCACCAAGTTCACGGAGTATTTGGATTATCAAAAATATCTTTGGTTTGGTGCCGGCTTCAAAATAAAACGACGGAAACTTTTCGACAAATGCTACAAACAAAATCAACTTCGAAGATGGACCTGCATCTTGAAATCAATCAAATTAACTGCGACTTCGAGCTAGGATTCAAGTTGAGATACAACATTTCTATAGCTTCTAACCTAGGCATCATAATAAAACTTTGAGGCCATCCTGGGGTTTCCACCATCTTGAGGTTTTCTGTGGGATCAAGACAAATTGATGCCGAGGTGAAGAGTGCCCGGACATAGAATTAACCGATTTAATTCTATAGCCAAGCACTCTTCAACTCGGTACCAACTTGACCAACAGCCCCACCTACGAAACATCTCAAAAACTACCTACGACCACCCAGTATTCAATAAACTTGTGTTTCAGCCATCAATAAAAACAGACTTTAGAAGTTAGAGGATGTTAATTTCAATTCTCCAAAGCTATTCTCCATTGAGGATTTGGGATTATTCTCACCTTACAAAAATGATAGAAGACTAAGTCAAATTATTCGAAAGTTCACTCACGAATACACGATAGGTCGAAGATGTCGCCCAAACGTTAGCGAGTTTGTTAAAACTTTTTTAAATGGACAAATCTTGGCAAGAAGATCTTGCGGGCGATTCCAATTGGGTTACCAAGTTGATGTTCCTCAACGAAAAAAAAAAAACTGGAGAAACCTAAATTTAATAATTTGCAACGAGAAACAGATATTCGGAGCCCAATTGCTTGATAATGACGAATATTTGGTTAGTATTTCAGAAATAAGTTGATTTATTTCTTACTGCCTTTTTTCAAAAGGGAATTTTTTATGCCATGTAGGAAATTTAAAAAGTTTATGCCACCTGCGATTTTGGAATTTTATGCCATTTGGGAGTTTTTAAATGTTTATGCCATTTGGGAATCAAGCCCACGATACAACTAAGCGAATTTAATTTTCATTCACTTTGCTAACGGATTGGGTCTATTCAGTGGCCGGTCAATGAACAGAATAATCTGAGAGCAGGAAGGATTTAAGACCAGAAAAACATACAGAATTAAAACAACTAATCAATAAAAACCATTTTAGAATCGTCTTACTGACCAGTGAAAAGAATAAATTGTACGAATTTCGTGTAAATCAATCGAAACTTTTCAAAACTGTTTTTTAAAATTCTCTTGACAAAAATGCACAATTCATTGGTAATTATGACGATTCTAAAATTTGTTTAATCGAATAGCTTGTATAATTCTTTGTTCGTCTCTCCGGGCTGTATACTAAGCAAACATATATTAGGTGAAAAAATGAAACCTCTAGACAAAATTTTAAGGTAAAAGTTGCGTTGGTCACACTGATTAATGCCAAAAAAGCATTAGTAAGGTTGCTGAAAACCTGCTTCAACTTTCTTATAGAGTCCTACCCTTCGCTGGGAAGCTCGCAGCACATTGACGCAACTGTCTCGGTCACTATTTTGCTGTTTAGTAGATTACAAATTTTAAAAACTGAACATGTTATCACAATGCACAACAACTAAAGACACCAGCGGATTTAAGGAGAAAGGGGGGCCACACACCCCCTCCCCCCTACTCCTCAGGAGTTCGACTCCCTGCCGACCCAAAACTTCCCCCCTTTGTTTTGATTTGAGATATGTTTTGCTTTTTTTGGCCTGTTTTTTTTTTCAAAATTTTGCCTGCGGCTCAGAAGTCTTGGTCAAAGTGGGGTCTTTATGGTGATTTAGGAGAGATCAGAAAATCAATTTGGTCGAACTAAAAAAGGTTGACAAAATTTTTGAAATTTTTTGAAAATATAAACCCCCCCCCCCCCCCCACCCCTCGAGAGAAACCTAGATCCGCCCCTGACTAAAGACTTGCGATTTGATATGGAGTTTTTCTTGAAACTAATCAGCAAAAAAATATATATTAATTGGCATTCGACGAATTGTCGTTTTTCTAATTGCAGCGAATTGACAAATTGTTACCAGCGACAATTTTTCACCATGCCACTTTTTATTGTCAAATGTTTTGCCTAATATTAACTTGTTTTTTTTGCCTAATGTAGTTTTTGCCTAATATAGCCGCCCCGTATCGTAATTTTAACTTTTATCGCTCGCAGAATTTGGCAGATTCTAATGACATATAAGCTCAGCAGATTCTATTGAAATTGTTTTTGCATCCAAGATCAACCAAAAGTACCGAGCTTTGCGTTTGTTATTCTACACTTTTTCTTAATTAGGCAGCCTACCTTCACTAATTAATTTCTGCAAAGGAAGGCTGTGTTCACAGTTGACTAGATTGGATACGTGTTCACCCACTAAAGAAGCACTGTTCTTCCCAATGACGCCCACAGATCTGAAGATACAACTGCGAGCGACTTTAACAATTTCATCATTATGTGCAGAGGCTTAAATAGCTTCACTAAGAGTACAATTTTCTGAGCCTTATCACTTCACTTACGCTTTAGCTTGTATCATCATTGAGTTGAGTAAATCAGTTATTGAAAAGGCTATTTATGAAAACCAAATGTGTAAAAATGGAAAAATTTCGTTTAGAGTATTTGATTATTTTTCAGAGGCACAAATATTACCTCAACCTTCGGGATCTATGTGAACGATCTCAAATTGTAAACACCACTTTTTTATTTTGTGGACTTCATGTGAACACTATTTTTTTACCCAAAAATCCGGAGTTTCAGTAATTGTTTCAGTAAACCAGTGAACTCTGTCCCCCTAGCTTGCTAGGTATTGTTCACTTGGTCCTTTTTCTGACCTCTGATCTGCAAAGGTGACAACACCGTCCAAATTTACTCTGAGCATAAATTCTGCCTGATGTTTGGGATCCAGATCACGAGGTGTTGCAACCAGATGATCCTGTATCCTAGCCAGTCCCACGAAGCAGCAACACGACATACCTCCGTCGTAGCCCATGTCACCGCAGCCTGGAAAAACAGTATAATAACACTTAGGTAATAAAATACGCTCAACATTTGAAGCAAAGTAACATTCAATGATCAAAAAGTTATAGCAAGTTTTTGGCCGACCATTTTATCTGGGGCTTAGATGTTCTCTCGGGTTAGATTTTTCACTAAATGCTGAATTAAGCATTGAAGATAGCAAGCCACAAAAGCACCATGTTCATATAGATCCGACCATGTCAGTGAAAGTCGCAGGAAGGAATTATGGCGAAGGTTCAGTCGATTTTGACTACTTCAAGAAAGCTCACAGAGGTCAAGCATGGCATCATATCAAAGCTCTAATGGCAGTGATTCGGATTCCAAAAAAAAACTGACGAAGTTGAAAAAACTGGTTTAGTTTTTCCCTTTTTCAGACTAAATTACACGGAGGGATAAATGAAATAAAGCATCTGCAATTCTTAGCTTTGTTATAACAATTATCCGCTGATCTTTTTTTAGCTTTTAACATTTCAATTTGCCCCTTAATCTAAAAAAACGAATAAAGAGAAAAGAATTTTCGTGGTCAGAAACATTCCTCGACTACTTGCACATCAAAAGGCTATCCTTGCTCGCCAAGAAAGGAATTTCACAGATTATTATTTCAGAAATTACCCATTTGTGGTGCATGGAATTGGTGAGTAGTCCACTGTTTCAGATATCCGCTCACTTGCGCCAGAGAATACACTCCCCCCTCTGTGAGCGAGTCAGCAGGAGATGCATGTAACAAGTTACCGGTGTACTGGAAACTGGTACCAATGTCATTTGGAGGGTAAACAAACGGCGTAGTACTATGACCAGTTGGCGCGTGACCAAAAGAGTGAGATCCTACGTAGGAATTCATTTGTGAAATGGAAGGGTAGGATTGAGGTGCATCTATGAGTCCGTTTCTAAGCCGGATGAAGAAACTTCGCCTGCAGCTGGAACTGCTACGGCCAGAAGCTAAATGGAAGCGACATTAGTTTCCTTCAATGTTTTTAGAAGGCCGCTGAAACTGTTTTCCGTACGTCATCATCGTTGTCAAACTTGAGTGGAAGATATAAAATCTTGTAACAATCTCACAAATAATTAAGGTTTTTAAAACTACTAATTGTACTAAGAATGCATAGAAATACCGGGGACCCGGACCGGCCTATTATCATGAGTGTCGATTAGCATGCCCGTGTATAAGAAAGTATTTTGAATACTCGCTATTATAAAAATTGGAATTTTCAACATCTTGCAATTAACCGAAATTTTAAGACAGAGGCAGAGCTGCGCTTTGCAAACACTTGCGAGAGCACGAACAAAAATCAGCTCTATCAAGTGAAATAAAAAAAAGTAAAAAAGTCTCGAATTACGGCTACATGTAGGATTCGAATCTGCGCCCTACTGCAATCAAGAGACTTTGAGTCTCACGAACTATCCACTCAAGCTTAACAACCGACAAACACTAGTCACCAACAAAGCAGCTACATATGCTAATAAATAGCCAATGCCATTCAGCAAAAGTGGCACCAAATACAAATAGAACCAATTTTGCAAATAATAATTTGGAATGTAACAAACTGAAAGCAACATCCACACTACCTTTGCATGTAACAAATTGCAAAGCGTAAAGCCACATTATGTATAAATGTTGCAGTTCAAAAAATTGCGAAATATTTTGAGTTAAAAAATTTCTGAAATCGAGTTTTCATTATTCAATATTGTTGTGTTGCTTGAATTAAATCACTTTTTTCGGTTCTTTTGCTGAAACAAAAAGCATCAACTGAGTTAACTTAGTACTATTTGAATTTCTAAGCAAATGCTATGGAAAAACTCTAAAGGTGCCCTAAATGTGGCACCACTGTTTGCGACTGGGGTTGGAAAAAAGAAGGTTGGTACTAGCACACTCACTTCGCATGTGTAATTAGGCGAAATTGTAATTTTTACTACAAAATCAAATTACGTGGATTTCGACAAATTTTGCTGATTTTTTTTTCGTCTGAAAGCACACCCAGTTAAGGCAAATAAGGCATGCTAATCGCTTCGTGAATTCAAAAAATTTTGAAAACGTATATACCCTGTGTGGACTCTTTCTTCACCGTGCCACTCTTCAGATCCAAAACCCTCCCGATACAACTGCCCCCTCCTCCTCCCGCGGACTGTCCCGATGTTCCACTAGCCCCGCCTGTCTGGGAGGGGGAGATGAACATGTGAGAGGATGCAGGGGAGGGGTTGGGCAGGCCGACTGCTAGATGTTCCCTCAATTTAACCCCGTCCTCAGGGTGAATGAGATCGAACATGGATGCACCTAGCCACGAGGCCTGCAAGGAAACTATGTATTTTTTGATTGTTAATTGTTTTTTTTAATAACCAATTGATTTTTCAAGAGCGCTAAATATGACATTTTTATAGTTTTTTTTTATCAGGCACAGCCGTCATATTTAAAAACAAGACGGCCATAGAAACTATTGGACTCGCTAAGGGCCTTGAGTTAACAGAGAGACAAACGCTCAAATCAAATAGGAAATAACTTTTGAGGAATATAAGGTAATCTGGTGGTAATTGAGGATTTACCTGAGGGACATTAAGCACTTGAGCGACAGTGTCAGTGACGAAGGAGACTCTGAGAGAGGAGCAGCAGAGGACGAACAGGAACCCATTGCCAGCCTCACACACCAACTGCTTCAGCTCCTCATCCGTCACAAACGAGGGCTTGTATCCCCCTGTCCCTGTACACCCACTTGCCCCCACACCCCCTGTTCCCATACCTACGGACCCAGGCACGCCAAACACACCATTACTACCCCCAATGCCAACTGCAGCCGCACATCCTCCTGGGGAGGCAAAGTCAGCACCACCGCCCACTCCCAACTCAGACATGCTGACCCCTACTGGAGACAATTGGTCGTTCTTTGATGCAAGCGAAGAAGGCAGACCAAAGGGGTTGTTGACTCCGGTTACTGGAATGCATGATACAGATTTTATTAGAGATTAAACACTTGGCTGACAATTATCACAAAAGCAAAATTTAGTTTTGCTACGATATTTATTGCTTTTAATAGCAAAATGAACCAAACTTATTGCTGCCACCATACTATTAAGTGGACTATAGTCTGAGGCGTTTAATCTCCTTGTGTTTTGAGGCAGAACGCTCGTATCTCCAAAGACGGCATTCATATTTTTATTCAAAACAAAACAAGACTGCTCGTATCAAGGCAAAGCCCTGAATGTTCCGACTGCCTTTTAAGGTTTATGGAGCAGCAGTAATAGCATAAAAAAATTAAATGAAATAAAATAAAATGAAAGTTTTTCTTTCTAAAATTTGAAATTTTTTTATGAAAATCATCCCCCCACACGCCATATAAAGTACAAAAAGAGAGATTTTGTTCCTTGTAACCAACCAATTATGGCAAATAAGCTTCGTTCAACCAATTTGGAACGATTTATAAGCCGGATTAAATCTCCGCTTACGCGTTAATAGCGCGAATTATATCGCGCATTAATTGTCCCAAATTGCTCAAAATGACCAAAATGGCAATCTTTAAACCCTCATAACTCTACGAAAAATGATCACAGGTGAAATATTTTTTCAAATTTAAGCTCAGGACAACAATATCTTTTGAATGATATAAAAAAATTCCGTCAAAAATGGCTAGTTAAAAAGTCGAAATTTGTCTGAAGAAAAAAAAAAACCCACCCCGAGCACAAATATTCCGTTACTTTCGTACCGAAAGTCGGAAAAATTATGTAACATGAAAAAATATCAGAGTGGATCAAGTGACTTTAATGAACAACCCTCTAGTCGTGATTGAATTGAATCAATTTAAAAAATAAGCCTAATTAAAAAACGTTTTGAAATTTTCTGTTTCAAGACATTTTTTCATGTACTAGACAAACCATATGGAAACAATCAAGGAAAACACAGTTGGAATCTCTTATAATCTTTGGACAATACGTTGTACTTTTTCATTGATACTTTAAACCGCTAGTAAAACGCAAACAATAGAAATCATTGCGTGAGAAAACAGTTATTGCTCAAAAGACAGTTTGTGACATTCGACCAGAATGGACAAAAGTACAAATTAAAATTGATGGCCGCTGACCTTGAGAATTAGCAGTTTTAGTAGATTAACGACGTTATTTGAACGTTTAGACGAACTGTGAAGGTCAGGATATTCTGGTATTTTAAATTTTTAAAATTTCGAATGATGACGTCATATTTCCGAGAAACGACCAAACGGCCATTTTTAGAAGTAAACCAAAAAAGAAACACAACAACAACGATAGTTGCGAGAGAAACTACGACGGGGGATAGAAAAATACGACAGAGTATTAGCAGAGACCGCTCCGAGTTGTAACGATTGTGTCGCTACAATCGTTACAGAGCCATTCACGCCAACGGTGAAGGGTGGTGGAACCATGAATTCAGCCTTCCGGAGAGGAAATAAGGGTGTTATTTCCCCGGATTTAAGAATCCGGAGGGGTCTTGAGACTGAACTCAAACTATTTCAAACTAACTTTTAGCTTCCTGGTCATGCCCTGAATTGAACTTAAATAACATCTAGATTCATTTTTTGATAATGAGAAGCTAGGAGTTGAGGGAAAGGGTTGATCCATCTTCGATGGAGATGATGATTTTTATCTACTGAACAAAAACAATAGTAATATAATAAATAGTAGTAGCCCTGTTTTTAGGAGTGACCTCGTGGTCTGGGGATACTGAGACCCAGTCATGAGCTCACTATTTTGCATGTAATTAAGTTAATTTGAGCATTCTGGTCGAAGCCGGAGAACAGTAACGTTTTTGTCAACCCGATGTTAGAAAGAACACCAAAAGAACTGGCTTTGGTAGAGACGGTGAAAAGCATGTAAAGCTTTGTTTAGACGCAGGCCAGTCGTTTTATAGCTCAGCTTTATTTTCCGTCGATATGTACTTCCGGGCGAATGTTACAGTTATTGTTGCCTGTCAACTGGAGTTCCGCAGGGACTTCGACTAAGGTCGCTACTTTTTTCAATCTGCCTGAACCCGCTGCGTAACGTTCAGATGAAAACATGTTTCGCATACCAGATTTACACGGATGACTTTCTTTTACAAGTTTCTCTATAAATACATCTGAAAAAACGGCCAATATTCAGAAAGCCTTTAATCAAGGAATAAGTTGGTTCATAAATGCAGGTCTTGTTAGAAAAATGGAGAAGAATAAAACAGAGTTCATGCTTAGAAAATAGCCGAACAAATTTAAGTAGCTTCACTGTGCAAGATACTGAGTTCAACTTTTCAAACTCTTTGAGGATTCTTGGAGTTACTCTTGATGATAAAAAGCTAATGACCTATCAACTAAATGGTATATGCAAGAGTCGCTATTATCAATTGCAAAAATTGTGTCATTCAGATATTACCTCAGCTTTGATACACAAAGCTTGTTAGCCCAAAATTTAATACTTTCAAGACTGGACTACTGCAATATTTAGTATACTTTTTGCTCACAAACCTGACTCATAAAGTACAACGTGCGCAAAACAGCGCATGTTGATTCGTATACCAAATATCAAATTCAAACAGTATCAATAATTTTTTACACGATTTACACTGGCTATCTGTTGAGCTAAGATTTACTTTTAAAAAATTGACTCAAACGCATTGTTTCAAATGCACCAGGCAAAATACCGTCTTATCAAGCTCAAAGATTGAAACGCAGCATGTAAAATTCAAATTGACTCGTTCTGCTAAAAATAAAAAAAGCACAAGAAAACGATTTTTGTTCCGACTTTCGATACGAAAGTAACGGAAAATTTGTGCTCGGGAGGGGTTTTTTTCTTCTGACAAATTTCGACGTTTTAACTAGCCATTTTTGACGGAATTTTTTTTATCATTCAAAAGGTATTGTTGTACTGAGCTCAAATTTGAAAAGATAATTCACCTGTGATCATTTTTTCGTAAAATTATGGGGGTTTAAAGATTGCCATTTTGGCCAATTTGGGACAATTAACGCGCGATATATTTCGCGCTTTTAACGCGTAAGCGGAGAGTTAATCCGTCTTAAAATCGTTCTAAATTGGTTGAAAGAAGTTTAAATGCCATAATTGATTTGTTACAAGGAGCAAAATCTATCTTTTTCTACTTTATATGGCGTGTGGGGAGATGATTTTCATAAAAAAGTCCAAATTTTAGAAAAAAAAATTCTTTTTATTTAAAAACAATCAGTTTTTTAAAGTTATTACTGCTCCATAAAACCTTAAAAGGCAGTCGGAACATTCAGGGCTTTGCCCTGATACGAGCAGTCTTGTTAAACTTTATTGGCCGTAGTTTTGGAATAAACTGCCAGCGAAACTGAGAATTGAAGAACCTTACACAAAGTTCAAAGCTGGTCTCAAAAAACAGCTTTTTAGAATGTATTTTCACGTTGAATAGACGATGCCACGAACAAAACCAGTTGCCCATTACAACAAGACTGCTCGTATCAGGACGAAGCCCTGAATGTTCCGACTGCCTTTTAAGGTTTATGGAGCAGTAATAACATTAAAAAATTCAATGAAATAAAACAAAATGAACAAAAAAAATTCTAAAATTTGTATTTTTTTTTATAAAAATCATCCCACCACACGCCATATAAAGTACAAAAGCATAGATTTCGCTCCTTGTAACAAACCAATTATGGCAAATAGGCTTCTTTTAACCAATTTGGAACTATTTCTAAGATGGATTAACTCTCCGCTCACGCGTTAATAAGCGGAGAGTTAAAGTCGGAACAATAAATACCAGAAATGGTGTATAAACAACAAGATAATGATGCTGATGATGGTTATGATGATTAAGTAATTTTCTTTTAGACAGTAGCAAAACGCTTTTATTCAAACCTCAAGCAACGGATTAGGGATGGACTTCAAACACGAGAGTTGGTTTAAGGAGGGACTCAAGATGCGAAACACATCTACCAAACTCAATTGGGAAAAATAACTCATATATAATTCCAACTGTGCTAGTTCAAACAATACTCGAAAATTTAGTCGGGGAAAAAGCGATATCAAATTTACGCTTTCAGCATTAATTTTTTTTGGAGCTTGACAAAACATATTTGGACAAAACATTTTTCAACAATTTTCCCCTCACCATGGTATCTGCTCAAAAAAATCTACCCTTATAAAAAACAGTAAATTAGCACGAGAACATCGTTTTGAAAAATCTAGTTTAGCTTAATTCTGATCGGTCGAAATTTGGACTAACTCTATCCACTTAACATAGTCCCCCTTTCTTGAAAAGAGAACATTGTTAAGTAGACCCCATTACTCAAAAGAAAAATAGAGTTGAGCTGATTCAAAAAATTCAAGGATAATTTGTTTTCTACATCATCAAAAACTGACCAATCACAAATTATTTGAAACATCGAAAGCATAAGCTTTTGGTTTTAGATGCTGGTCTTAAGTTACTGCAATTGTTTTCAAATTTTACAATAAACGGTTGTTGTAATTTTCGCACTGTGATTCAGTGTTTGCCGCTGAAGTTTTTTGCTTAGAGCTTTGTTTAAAAACCGTGAAAAAAATGTCTTAACACAGAGTAGAAGCGTTGTTTCGGTTTATTTGCGATACATCACTAACATAAAAAACTTGAAAAATAATGAAGAACTAGGTGAACCAAATTTTGTTTTCGTATATCTCGATGCAAGTAAACTAAGTGCCAAGCTAAAAGTGGAAGTATTTGTTTGAATATTTTAAACTGATGCAAAATGAAATGGTCTTTTTTCCAAATCAAAATGCAAATGTCTCGATGGCATGCTTTTCTAGAAATCGTTGTCGGTAAAAACACGCTTTATGAAAATGTATGGAATTGGGTTCCTTATTTCACTTTATTTTTTTTGAAAGCGCTTTGGAAAAGCTTCCAATTTTAGCACAGTTCAATTTCAGTACAATTTTATTTTAAAATGAAAATGGGTTTTCTATTTCATTTTTCTCAGAAGCTTCAGAGTTTTTTTTTCACTGAAAAATTATTAATGGGGAAAAAACTCAAAAGCCTCTCAAAAAAGTGAATTAAAAAACAACAATTTTATACATTTTCAACAGAAGCGAAGCTACGCTTCGCAACTACCAGCACAAAAAAATCAAAAAAGCTCTATGAAATGAAAAAAAAAATTTAAAAGAGGACTTGAAATTTAAATATTCTGCTTTGGCAGATTCGGTCCTACGACCAAGAGACTTAGAATCCCATGTCCTCGCATCTGCACTCCGGGGCAAAAAATGGCACAAGGTATACAAAGTGAGAAATTTTGCATGTAATATTTCTAGAAAAAACTAAACGAAAGGCGTCCACGTCTCTTTAGCATGTAATAAACTGGAAAGCAACAAAACCAAATTGTGAAAAAAGGCATTTCAAAAAACACCAGATCCACAGATTAGGAAAACTTCTGAAATCCAATTTTTTGCAATAAGGTTTAAAACCAATAGCTTTTCTCTGTTCGTTTGATAAAAATAAAAATGCATCGATGTCGAAGCCCATGCTGCCAAATGCCGTAAAAGTGCCCCAAAATTGGCATCATTATTTGCGAGTTAACTTGGAAAAAAAGAGTATCCATAATTACACTACGCTCGCTACAGCCCGCAAGTCTAGTGTAAATCAAGCCAAAGATGGCATTCATATTTTTATTCAAAACAAAATTAAGTTACGTGAAAAAACATCAGAGTGGTTCAAGTGACTTTAATTTACAAAACACTCTAGTCGTGATTGAATCGAATCAATTTAAGAAATAAGCCTTTTTAAAAAACGTTTTGAAATTTTCTGTTTCAAGATATTTTTTCATGTACTAGACAAACCATATGGAAACAATCAAGGAAAACACAGTAACACTGTTGAAATCTTTTACAATCTTTGGACCATACGTTGTACTTTTTGTTTAGTACTCCCCAATATCCACCAAAAAAAAAATAAAATAGGCAAAATTAAACAATACATTTGATACAGTTAACGAGAGTTGATCATATTATTTTATCATGCTATTAGAAACTATATATTTCTAATTGCCAAAACTTTTTCAATTTGCACGAAAGAGGTGACATTTGTTAAAAATTGTAATAAGCAAAAAGTTTTGTTGCCCCTTAGATTTTCTAAAATACTAGTTTTGCAACGAAAAATTAATACCTAAATTCTGTTTAGTTAGAACCGTCTAATTTATGTGACGTCTAATTTCACGTGTTATCATCTCGAGATCCTGGATGCAAAAATTGAAATGAACACGTGAGAAGTTTTCGAAAATCGAAAAAGTTCGATGAAAAAACCTTGAAAAGCAAAATTATTGCAGATTGAAAATTTTTTTTTTTTTTTCAAAACTTCAGTGGTTTGAAGCGTTTGTAAGCACACTCATTGCTACCCTTTGTTATATTGAAACAGCATAGCACCTATCTGGGCAAATATCACTATATTCTGGACACATGTGATCCGTTTTTCTTGCGGAGCAGCAAGAGCAATATTGTTCATGTACCAAATTTAGCTGAAAATAGCTGACATAGCATTAACTATAATAGGTACGCAATTCAAGTCCAACTTTTTCTCTTATCAGCCTAATTGTCAATTTGTTCTTAATAGGAGAAATAATTAGTTAATCTCATCACAAATGAGAATTAAATAGTACTTAACAAAACCATTTAAAATATACCATCGTTTTGAAATCAAAGTACATTTGCCTTCAATGTATATTTATCATTTGAAAAGTACTCGCTCTAAAATCAATCTTCACTAAGTTAGGTAACACTTAATTTGGAGGCAAAACTAAATTCTTCTAAATCATCGTTCTGCTTCATGTCTCCTACCTTGTAGTGATTGGAGATATGATACTGCCATTTTCAGGACAGTCAACTTGTCCGGCTTCCGAGTCAGTCCGCAACACGCGGGAACAATCTCTGCAAGCTCCTGGATATAACTGGACATTTTATTTCTCCTGCGACGTTCGATCTCACTGTGATTCTCTCTAGTACCCCCACACACAGCTGGGGCCACCACAGGAGTAAGCGTGTTATGTCCTATATATGCCATAGTCTGTGGTTTATATTTATAGTGTGTATGAATGAAAAAATAAAAACGATAACGTATTCTGAGTTGGAAACTTTATAAAGAACAAATTTTTGTTTTAAAAAATCTCTACCGATTTTGCTGAAATAATCTGGAGAAATATTCCACCCTGGGGAACTGGAAAGTTGATTAATATTCAATTGATGAACAGTTTTGAATAAATTAAGAGGTTTCTTTTGTCGCTGTTACAAAGATCTATTCAGGGATTAACAATGGACTCATTGTGACAGGTAGTAACACAATTTTAACTAACCCAACTACTGATTCTCTCTTAGCCACACTCCCGCGAGACTAGTTCGATGCTATCTCGCACTCAACTTTGCATATCATCATTCACATTTGGTGATATTTTTGATTAATTCAAGTTCTCAGTAGCCTCTCTTTTCTGTTAATCATAGGCTTAGCCATGTACCATCTGACAGCTCTCAGTTGGATTAACATAAATATTTAAAAATTCAATTTCTAAGCTTAATTTTTCATAATCAAATAATTCAAATCAATTTGAACAGCATCAAACTCATCAATTAATTTGATGAAAATCAATACAGCATCAAGTCAATATGTTTTCTCTTGCATTGACTCCTGCATTTTTAAGATGCAACTTTTCCACAGAAGGCTCTTTTCTTTCATTTATCAAGGAGTCGTGGATCCTTTGGATTACTCAGATATCATAACTGTCATATATGAGCTCTTTAAATTGTCTGTTTAGACTCATCTGAATCTCTTAAACAGCGGATGTACTTTAGTGTTAGGCTTCTTAAACTCCGTGTAGTACATGTCATCCGCTCCTGACAAACTGGCCATTGAGGACTTGATAGTCTTCGTGTGTGAGGAAGAGCCTCCTTTGGCTGAAGTCCCACCACTTTGTCCTCCGGGGTCGACCACTTGTTCCTCTTCTGCGTCCAAATCGGAAGCAGCGATCACCTGCGGGCGGTAGAGGATTAAAGTTTTTCTTTACAAATAGTACTACCAACACATACTATACGCATTTCAAAATGAAAGCAAAGTTTGAGGCTAAACGTTTCAAGCACTGTTTAGAGCTTACCTCCAAATAGTTTCACTAAAATTCATGCCACAAAAAAGATGTTTTAGCAGCATATGAAAAAATGATTATACCCAGAGTGCTAAAAATCTCTACTGTACTGGTTAACAACTATTGTAAAAATTTAGGGGACCATATTTTGTGAGAGGGCAGCAAATAGCAGGAATGAACATCAATTTCTCTGATATTCGCAATTTTCCTGACCTGTTGCAGCAATTGATGTTGTTCCTCCCTAGTAGTGTAGAACAGATTCTCCTTCTCCATATCTGGCAGCTCCGCTATCACCTTGTATGCATATCCCTGGTTGATGAGGAATCGCTGCCTTTTCTGAGAGTATTGCATCTCCATGGTATCTTTGGACACCAACGAGTAGAAAAAAGCGTTGAACTCTTCAGTCACTGATCCCTTCTTGGCTCTCAAAATTCGACCCAGACGCTGTGCTTCTTGACGCCTCGAACCACCGTGAGCTGATATCTGGATCAAAACATTTGCTTCTGGTAAATCAAAAGAAGTGTCTCCTACTTTTGATATGAATACAGTCTTGACTTGCGGGTTGAACTGGAAATTCTGAAGGATCTGAACTCTTTCCTGATGTGATGTAGGACCATAAATGTAGGGCTTCTTTAGCTTTGTTGCGTATGCTTTCAAAGCAAACACGTTGTCAGAAAACACAATTATTTTGTCGTCTCTCCTCTCGTGGTAGTTGATGAGATACTGACACGAACGGAACTTATTGGGGTTCATAACAAAGAAAAGAAGTTTTTTGGCAGTCGGAGTAGTAAGATATTCTCTATAAAAGGAAGGAGCCATCGGACACCATACTTCAGCACACTGGACACGTGCGATATATCCGTTGTTCTGCAGCTCCATCCAGTTAGCCTCGTACAGTTTCGGTCCAATCAGGAAGTTAAGATCTGCAATTTTGTCGTCTTCCCGCACCAGTGTCGCAGTAAGACCCAACTTACAGTGCGCCTTTAAACATCAATCACCTGATCATTTTGACCAAACTCCAGGTATGGAAACAAACCTGCACTGATGCCACTTCTATTCTAAAATCGATTCAATTTCGAGTAAAACTGATGCGCAATTTACATTTTGTTGATTGCTCGATACAAAAAGTTTTTGTATGCGAAGCTGCACTTCGCAGACGAATAAGAGAAAACGTCCAAAGGTAGCACTAAAAGCCAAAAAAGTTAACTAAGGAAAGAAAAGGCAGGTAAACGTGTGATACATGGGTACCTCAAAACTATGAGGGTACCAAAACTAAAAACAGTGCATCAACTGTGTTCAAATTTTTGCTTAGATGATGTCAATAAAAGCATCAAATAAGTTAACGCAAATGAGGCATGTTATTACGTTTTAGATAAAGCTTTGAAAAGGACGAATCGGCTTCTATTCGTTTACTTAACTGCTGTTTAAGCTTACGTCTAGTCCGATATGGTACCCCTCTATCACATTTGGTTTCTATGGCCACTCCACTCTCAAAGAACCGCAGGAATAGTTGATTTCAAACACTTGCAATATACCTTCTTCGATAAAAATCTTCAAATCGATAAACTTGGGTTTTTCCCATCGTTCATAACATTAAAACTGTATAGCTTAAAACTCAGTGCAAGTTCTCAAAACACAGGTATTTGTCCTTCAAAAAAATTGCTGTTTCATGGAGGTCAGACTTAACCAGGTCCGAACCGAGTTAGAGAAAAAAAAACTACCGAATGGGACTATAGCCCCTCGGGTTTTTATGTATAGAGGTCAAAGTATGGGGGATTCGAACCTGGGTGACCAGCGGTTGGGTCTTTGCCATATACGCTAGGCTATGAAACTTGTATAGTTTCGTATTTTAGTCGAAGGATTTTTTGCTTGTCTTTATTTCAAGCTTCATAATTTCATGCTACTTAATTCAACATAATCCGCCGCCAAAGACGGAAGAACCGGAGCGAGTTTAACGTTCGGTCGGGTGAGCTCGCTCATAGCTGTCCTAATGAGAGCGGAAAGGGCACATCCGTCTTTTCCGCAATAAAGTCTAACGATGCACGCATGGACTCATTGTGACAGGTAGTAACACAATTTTAACTAACCCAACTACTGATTCTCTCTTAGCCACACTCCCGCGAGACTAGTTCGATGCTATCTCGCACTCAACTTTGCATATCATCATTCACATTTGGTGATATTTTTGATTAATTCAAGTTCTCAGTAGCCTCTCTTTTCTGTTAATCATAGGCTTAGCCATGTACCATCTGACAGCTCTCAGTTGGATTAACATAAATATTTAAAAATTCAATTTCTAAGCTTAATTTTTCATAATCAAATAATTCAAATCAATTTGAACAGCATCAAACTCATCAATTAATTTGATGAAAATCAATACAGCATCAAGTCAATATGTTTTCTCTTGCATTGACTCCTGCATTTTTAAGATGCAACTTTTCCACAGAAGGCTCTTTTCTTTCATTTATCAAGGAGTCGTGGATCCTTTGGATTACTCAGATATCATAACTGTCATATATGAGCTCTTTAAATTGTCTGTTTAGACTCATCTGAATCTCTTAAACAGCGGATGTACTTTAGTGTTAGGCTTCTTAAACTCCGTGTAGTACATGTCATCCGCTCCTGACAAACTGGCCATTGAGGACTTGATAGTCTTCGTGTGTGAGGAAGAGCCTCCTTTGGCTGAAGTCCCACCACTTTGTCCTCCGGGGTCGACCACTTGTTCCTCTTCTGCGTCCAAATCGGAAGCAGCGATCACCTGCGGGCGGTAGAGGATTAAAGTTTTTCTTTACAAATAGTACTACCAACACATACTATACGCAATTCAAAATGAAAGCAAAGTTTGAGGCTAAACGTTTCAAGCACTGTTTAGAGCTTACCTCCAAATAGTTTCACTAAAATTCATGCCACAAAAAAGATGTTTTAGCAGCATATGAAAAAATGATTATACCCAGAGTGCTAAAAATCTCTACTGTACTGGTTAACAACTATTGTAAAAATTTAGGGGACCATATTTTGTGAGAGGGCAGCAAATAGCAGGAATGAACATCAATTTCTCTGATATTCGCAATTTTCCTGACCTGTTGCAGCAATTGATGTTGTTCCTCCCTAGTAGTGTAGAACAGATTCTCCTTCTCCATATCTGGCAGCTCCGCTATCACCTTGTATGCATATCCCTGGTTGATGAGGAATCGCTGCCTTTTCTGAGAGTATTGCATCTCCATGGTATCTTTGGACACCAACGAGTAGAAAAAAGCGTTGAACTCTTCAGTCACTGATCCCTTCTTGGCTCTCAAAATTCGACCCAGACGCTGTGCTTCTTGACGCCTCGAACCACCGTGAGCTGATATCTGGATCAAAACATTTGCTTCTGGTAAATCAAAAGAAGTGTCTCCTACTTTTGATATGAATACAGTCTTGACTTGCGGGTTGAACTGGAAATTCTGAAGGATCTAAACTCTTTCCTGATGTGATGTAGGACCATAAATGTAGGGCTTCTTTAGCTTTGTTGCGTATGCTTTCAAAGCAAACACGTTGTCAGAAAACACAATTATTTTGTCGTCTCTCCTCTCGTGGTAGTTGATGAGATACTGACACGAACGGAACTTATTGGGGTTCATAACAAAGAAAAGAAGTTTTTTGGCAGTCGGAGTAGTAAGATATTCTCTATAAAAGGAAGGAGCCATCGGACACCATACTTCAGCACACTGGACACGTGCGATATATCCGTTGTTCTGCAGCTCCATCCAGTTAGCCTCGTACAGTTTCGGTCCAATCAGGAAATTAAGATCTGCAATTTTGTCGTCTTCCCGCACCAGTGTCGCAGTAAGACCCAACTTACAGTGCGCCTTTAAACATCAATCACCTGATCATTTTGACCAAACTCCAGGTATGGAAACAAACCTGCACTGATGCCACTTCTATTCTAAAATCGATTCAATTTCGAGTAAAACTGATGCGCAATTTACATTTTGTTGATTGCTCGATACAAAAAGTTTTTGTATGCGAAGCTGCACTTCGCAGACGAATAAGAGAAAACGTCCAAAGGTAGCACTAAAAGCCAAAAAAGTTAACTAAGGAAAGAAAAGGCAGGTAAACGTGTGATACATGGGTACCTCAAAACTATGAGGGTACCAAAACTAAAAACAGTGCATCAACTGTGTTCAAATTTTTGCTTAGATGATGTCAATAAAAGCATCAAATAAGTTAACGCAAATGAGGCATGTTATTACGTTTTAGATAAAGCTTTGAAAAGGACGAATCGGCTTCTATTCGTTTACTTAACTGCTGTTTAAGCTTACGTCTAGTCCGATATGGTACCCCTCTATCACATTTGGTTTCTATGGCCACTCCACTCTCAAAGAACCGCAGGAATAGTTGATTTCAAACACTTGCAATATACCTTCTTCGATAAAAATCTTCAAATCGATAAACTTGGGTTTTTCCCATCGTTCATAACATTAAAACTGTATAGCTTAAAACTCAGTGCAAGTTCTCAAAACACAGGTATTTGTCCTTCAAAAAAATTGCTGTTTCATGGAGGTCAGACTTAACCAGGTCCGAACCGAGTTAGAGAAAAAAAAACTACCGAATGGGACTATAGCCCCTCGGGTTTTTATGTATAGAGGTCAAAGTATGGGGGATTCGAACCTGGGTGACCAGCGGTTGGGTCTTTGCCATATACGCTAGGCTATGAAACTTGTATAGTTTCGTATTTTAGTCGAAGGATTTTTTGCTTGTCTTTATTTCAAGCTTCATAATTTCATGCTAATTAATTCAACATAATCCGCCGCCAAAGACGGAAGAACCGGAGCGAGTTTAACGTTCGGTCGGGTGAGCTCGCTCATAGCTGTCCTAATGAGAGCGGAAAGGGCACATCCGTCTTTTCCGCAATAAAGTCTAACGATGCACGCGAGAGGGTAATAACCTCGCGGACTGTTGGGTTCAATAACCCATACAAGGTCCCCCGTTTTGAGATTAACGTCAGAATGAGGGTTAAACTTTGCATACTTTTCAAGTAAAGGAACACATTATCGTAGACAAAGGGGCCAGGTAGGGTCAGCATACGGCTACGCTCGTACGTACGTTTTCTTATGATCGAAGTATTTCTTTAGCGAGCAAAGGAAGGCTTGCGGCAATCTGTCCAAGCAAAAAATGATTGAGGGTTAACGCTCTTAAATCACTTGAATTGGTACTTACCGGAATTATCGATCTCACGTCAAAGCCTACCCAACTAAGCAGAGTGTTGATCTTAACACTTCTGTTACCCGCTTACTGCCTAGTATATCATGGAGTTCACGTTTAAGACTACAAAGGAAGCGTTTCTAAGAGACGCCATGGTGTGATGAACTTCGTAGTGTTAAGCTTCCAAGCTATACCTTCGAATGGAAATGTAATATGGTCCAAAAAAATCCACGTCTGTGGAGGAAAACGTGTTTGCTTATGCACAAGAAGTTCGACAGCTTTATCGGTCATAATCGTTTTGACCGCATGTGCTTTCCGCTTTCGACATGGAACGCAATTGTTTTTAGTAGAAGTCAGCAGTCGATGCAAACCAGGTAAAGCGTTCTTTAATTAATCAAGGAGCAGATGTAGTCCAAATCGTGATTAAAATTTTCAAGGAGGAGGTTCCGAGCTAACAACTGAACTAATGTATGCCGGACATCAAGCAAAATGGGAGTTTGTCAACTAAACGTCATAAGCGGCCAGTGCACCGAAGCATACCAGCCGGACCCAAGAACGGTGAGTACGTAGCAATCTTGCAGCTGCTAAGTACAATTGCAGCAATTGGAAATGTGCAATTGTGACTCCTCTATTCAAAAAGGAAGGAAGCCGCACATCTGTCAAAAACTACCGACCCATCAGTATTCTACCTCGACTGTCATTAATATTCGAACGTATTCTTTTTAATCATATGTATCCCTTTGTCAAACAAAAATTATAGATTGTTAGCATGGTTTCAGGACTCGACGTTCAACTATCGCCCAACTAATTGCCTATTTAGACAAAATATATATGGATTTGGACAACGGCAACAACCACATTGCGGTTTATTTTGATTTTCAGAAAGAGTTTGATAAGTGCCCCATCACTTATTAATAAACAAACTGCGCAATTTCGGCTTCGATGAAGACTATGTTTCTTTGTTCAAAAGCTACCTACAGGGAAGATATCAGAAAGTTGAAGTTAATGGGGTCTGGTCCAGTGCTATCATCGTTACCAGTGGAATCCCACAGGGAAGTGTGCTTGGTCCATTACTATTTGTTATTTTCATCAACGATTTGCCTGGTACCTGTTTATATTCAAGTTGCTTCATTTTCGCCGATGATAGTAAGCTATTGAACAGTGATCCAAATCTCCTGCAAGTTGACATAAACAACTTTATTGAGTGGACTAAATCAAATCTCATGTCCTTGAATGAAAATAAATGCAAACTTTTTTTTCTCTCTCAGCGAATGGAAAACGAAGTTAGTCTTTTCCTTGAAGACGTAGGAATAGAAGCTGCACTGTGTGTAAAGTATCTGGGAGTACACATATCTAGCAATGTATCATAGCGCACACACATCATTATAAAAAACGGAAAAGCGAAGCAAGTGTACCATCAAATTAAACTGAACATCCCATACTCTGCTCCTAGTAAAACTAAACTAAATCTATACAACTCATGTATTCTATCCATTTTATTCTATGGGTCAGAGGTTTGGGACGCTGACGTTACGAAGTTCCGCAAACTTGAACGCCTACAATGGAAATGTCTGAAATGGGCTTGCTGGAGTTTGGCAACATCCTCTTCTTCCATTTTAGTTTATCATCATGTTTTATCTATATGCTATCGTCATCAACTCTAAGATCTTCTTTTCTTCAACAAACTGCTAAACGGAGAAATGGATATGGATCCGTTCGACTATGTGAAGTACGAAAATGAGAATTCCGGTCTAAGAAGTGCATCAACTCCTATTTTCTCGATTACAAAAACCTCAAAGAAACGCACGGATAGTTCATTCTTTATTCGTGTTGTCCGAATGTCGAACCTTCTTATCAAGCAAAAAATTGACATTTGTTGCCAAACCCAAACATTTCAAAAAACTATCACTAACTTCTTTGTCAACAGGGCAGTTTCCAAATTCTGTTTTTCAAGATCCTGTACTTGGTTTCTAGCTCTTGCTTGATTTATGTGATTTGAAACTACTTATTTGTAAACATCCTCTGTTATAGTTGTATTTGTAACCTTTTATAAAAAGGAATTGATGTCTATTTTGTTGTTGTTGCTCTAAGTTCACAGAGCTGCTATCCATGAGGGCTGCCGAATAAATCTCCCTCATACCGTTTACAGCTGAATTATCGCCGCAGAGAAAATGTGCTGTCTGAAGCGCAATAGTACAAATATCTGGTTTTGGAGTAGATCTGACTCACATCAAACTTCTGTTATTCGGCCCACTGCACTCTGACAACTTTCGCCAACTGCGCACTGTGACGACTTTCGGCCAACTGAATCAATGGGCACTCGGCCAATTGGGTATACGCACTCGACATTCGACCAACGGGGTATAAGCACTAGTCCAACTGGGTATAAGCACTAGTCCAACTGGGTAGAAGCGCTTCCGGTTATCTTCATTCGACCACTTGAGTGGCCTCATTCTGACAATTGGTCCCTAGTCCAACTGGGCATAAGCGCTTTCGTAATTCGGACAATTTCGCTACTCGACAACTGGGTAAAAGCACTTTCGGTATTCGACACTCGCTCAATTGGGTATGAGCACTTTCGGTACTCGCGACTCTGACAACTGGATATAAGCACTTGTCCCTTGCGAAAAATATGGTCACTCCAATCTCCAAAACCGTAAAAATAATTGACATCAGACACTTTCATTATAGTATTTCTTCTGTAAATAACTCTATAAACGGATAAATTTGGGTTTTTTCCATCGATCATACTATCAACAATTTAAAGCTTAAAACTCAGAGCACGTTTTTTGTCAAAACACTGGTATTTGTTCTTTAGAGGTCAAGTTTGAACCGAGCTACAGAGAAAAACGGGTCAAATAGGGCTCTAGCCCTTGTTTCGTATTTTAGTCCAATCAAATTATGCGTGTCTTTGTTTCATTCTTTTTTATCACACTTATACCAAAAGGCATAATATGCCTTGAAATATAAAACTTTCGGAATCTGCAGGAATCAAGCCCCAACCTGGAAATTCTGAGTCTCCCGTCCTCGCATTAATAAAAACACAAGCCACCAATAAGGCGGATAAACACATGGTATTTAAGTGCCAATGCTATGCAACAAGAACGCCATCAAAAGGAGCTCTTTTATTAGCGAGTCGGATTAGAAAAAAAGAAGATTCGTAATACAACACAACGCTCGCTAGATGTCGCCGTTTAAATAAAGGAAACTATTACAATTGTAGGCTTCATAAACTTATTTTTAAAAACTATCTATCTAACCTGTATAACTGATAGGACCCTTCTGAACTGCTTGGCGGGTATGGTATGCACCTCATCTAAGAGCAGCAGCCCCCATTCCATCGACTGCAGGTGTTTCATCATCTGCTCCGCCTCCCACGATCTCCTACCCTGATAGGCTATCATAGTATAAGTACTAACACACACAGACGCTCCTTGAGGCTTGTCCTTCGAGTCGGAAGTAAATCTGGAACAAAACAAACATAGCTAGCATAAAATTCAAACAGAGTCAGTAAACTCACTGAGACGGAAAAAAAAAACAATTGACTCCTCAAAAAAATTTCTCAATTTGAATTTGAAGAATATTTCATGATAGACAAATTTTTCAAAAAAAAACTTTTAGAGAGAACTGGGTTACTAGGCAAATTTTTTACGCTGGAAAATCTAAAAACTAAAATGCACATTCGAAAGCGTAACTCATTCACGTAAATTTGAGTAATTAATTTTTCCTGAAAAAAATATGACCTCAATAGGGAAGGTAATTTGCTTTCATTTTAGGAAATGAAATGATTGAACTTAGTCAAATCGCCGAGAAAATTCAAATTCCATAGGGATAACCCTAAACTTTTTCCAGAAATAAAATAGACGACCTCAAAAAACTCAAATTATTTTCTTTATCCAGTTTGTTCATTGACACCTAACCAGATATCGATTTGTAAACAAAAACATGGTTTAAGGGTAACCGAAGTATATACCCAATTGAGCCTGCTGTTTAATTACATTGGTTTTTGAGCTTTTAAAATTATCTACTAAAAGCTCAATTTCAATTTTCATGATAGGAAACGGATTTCAAGCGAAACTTGATTTGCATTATTACCTACAAACGGAAGCATCGTCAGCAGTAGACCACAGTTTGAACTGCTGTTTCCATTGATCTACACTGACACTACTTGTACACAAAACCAAACAGCGTTTTCTTACAGTACATGCCGCTGTAACTCCCACAAGTGTCTTTCCTGCACCACAGGGCAGGACGATGATTCCCGACCGAGCACGACCGTTTCCAAACATTTTACGCAGGCTTTTTTCTTGGTAAGGCCTCAAAGTTGTATTGCTTTTCAAATCCATTAAAACATCTGGATTTCGCGTATCATTTTTGAAATCGTACTCCGCGAGTAAGGGGCAATCGAGTTCAATGCAACGTTTCTGCAAAACTTCGAGATGCTTTGGATCTATTTCGAATGAAACAACATTGGCTTCGTCGTCTTCTTGGTCCATTTTTTCATAGAAATTTGAAATATCTTCTGGCACTTCATTGCTACCTGTTTCCATGTTTTGAAAATCATCTACCTTCGAATTAAATTTTGATATGGTATTGGTGGGTTGTAACTTCTCTGGCACGGAAATATTGTCGGTCTCTTCAGACTCAATTCTAGTTCCCGCTATGACCGAATCTTTTAGTAGTTTTTGTATCACTTCAGAGTGAGTACTCTCAATATAATATTTATTGTATTTTAAGACCAGTTTGACTTTGCCATAGCTTAAAGTACATGCTTTGATGAACTCAATTATTTCTTCAGGCAGCGAGGTTTTACATAAACGACGTAAATACTCTATAATATCTTCGGTTTTAAGACCAACAGAAACCGCCGCATAAAGCGAATAAGCCGTTAGTTTGTATTCGTGAATTAGCTTCGGTCTACTAAGTGGCTCTGCGATGGCGATTAAAAAATCTTGTGCATGTCTGAAGACAGGGCTGAATGATTCAAGAAAAATGTGTCCATTTGGAGCAATGTACAAGGATCTATACTTGTGGTCTGGTTTTAACGACAAAAGTTTCCGATAGTCCTTTGCTCCATACTCATCCTCTTCTCCTGCATCTTTAGTCCCTTTGCTAGCGCACTTTGGCAACAATGCTTTCGACACATCATCTTCATAAATGAAGGCGTCAGCATCCGGATCCTCTTTTGTTGCAGCTGCTACAAAATCTGAGTCGGAATCCGACTCATATCTCCGCTTTTTGGACTTTTTTGCCTTCTTTGAGCCTGTATGCTTCCGTTTGTCAGGCATATTTGAATTAAGTCAATTTACCCAATTTTTTTAAATCAATTCTGACTGAAAAAAAATTGACTCATTTAAACTCTTCAGCATTAAGTTTTCAGCAAAAAGTAAATTCTAACAAGGGGGCTTCCGTTTAGGTACGGTCGTGCACCAGCTAGATAGGGCCCATACCACATTATGTAAATACATCAACAAACAATATTGCAGGAATTAGTTCAAGTCAGCATTTAATGCATTGTCATTAAAAGTATTTACTTCAACCGTCCCTCCTCTACAACAGCACTTATTGAATTGTCTTATTAAATAGATTTTTCTTAATAATTAGAAAATAATAATAAGATTTTTCTTAATTTTCTTAATAATACTACTACTAATAGTTTCATTAAGCAAAAATAATGAGAACAGATAAGATTATACAAAAATTACCACATTACATTTTAGCCCCCAATAAGTAAACAAATTGATAACCCCATTTGCAGACGACCTGGAGTGTTCTCGGCCCACTTCTGTTTATTTTATTTATAAATGATATGACCGATGATGTGTTAAATAGTGAATTTTATCTATTTGCAGACGACCTGAAGATTAAAAGCTCATCTGCTCCATCATTAGTTCAAAAAGATATCGATTCTCTTTTTAATTGGTCAACTAACAATCACTTACAGTTTCATTCTGCCAAATGTAAAGTTCTGAACTTTGGTGGTTATGATGATTCTATCCAATTCTTGCTCGGATCAGACATCTTACCATTTGTTGATGAAATTAAAGATCTTGGTATCATAGTCTCCAACAATCTTTCCTGGAAATCCCATCTGAATACTAAGTTGATAAAATGTTCCAGATTGTTTTATTTTCTGAAACGAAATATTCCTTTCTCGGTATCCTGCAGTCGAAAAAAGTTACTTTACAATACTCTCATTCTGTCAATCTTACTTTACGGTGCTCCTGCATGGTGCCCTTCTTTGACACTATTACATCAGCTTGAACTGTTCCAGTACAAAGTTCTAAGATGGATCAAGAAATGTTCTTCGTATGTTTCAGGGCTACTAAATCTGAATATGCTTCCAATTAGCTATGTATTGATTAGAGTTGAAATTCTTCTACTTTGGAAGCTCCATAACAATGTTATTGATGTTGACTGCAAAAGTGCAACCAGCTCGCTTCCTACGCGTTCCGCTACGAGTGGCCTATTCGTCATACCGAACACGAGGAAATTGAAAACTGACGATAACTTCTTTGTACGAGCTCCCCGTGCTGCCAATGAACTTCTGCGTCTGAAAATTATATCTTTCGACATGCCCCTGGGAATGTTCAAATCAAAACTGAATAAATTTTTACTGCTTAAAACTTCAACTTTGTTTGATATAAACAGATCATGCACATTCTTTGTCAAATGTTATTGTAAAAATTGTCGATCGTAAGTTCATTCAATATTTATATTAACCCTGTATCCACCAATGGAATTAAAGTCTTTTACTACTACTACTACTACTACTACTACTAATAGTTTCATTAAGCAAAAATAATGAGAACAGATAAGATTATACAAAAATTACCACATTACATTTTAGCCCCCAATAAGTAAACAAATTGATAACCCCATCTTTCTTTCCACAGCGCAAGAGTCAGTCTATCGACTTTAATTGAGGGGGACTTGAACCCTTGTCATCTTCTTTTATCATTATCACTTCCATATCTAGAAAATTCCAAGGATTTTGACTGGAATACGTGATGAAGGGACTCCTGAATGCAACCTCGGTTACTATGATACTTTTGATCATCTGATTACCTACAAAAAAGAAAAATAAAAAATCTAGAAATCAGTCGGCTTTCAACACAGCGCAAGAATCAGTCTAGAAATCAGTCGGCTTTTTTTTGCTCTTTTTTTTCCATTATTTTCGCCTTCGATCTTTCTGACCTTCAAACATTAAATGAAAATTCTCTAAAAACAAAAATACAGTTGTTTAGATAAAGATTGGTCTGAACAAGAAAATTTATTCGATATAAAACAAAACTTCCGTACATTCAATTATCAAACCCTAAATTTGTAAAATTCCATACATGCTTTATTCGAAAATCTGTATTAAAAAAACCGAACTTGGCAAAAGAAAAAAAACAGTTACGGAAAAACAATTAAGAAAAAAATGAAAAATATAGCTATTCAACAGAAAAAGAAAACTGTTTTACAGAAAAATTATTCAGCAGAAAAATAAAATTATTTTGAAGAAAAAAGTTATTTTTATAGCAGTACATATTTATCAGCAGAGAAACAGTAAGTCATTTCTTGATCGAATCAGAAGAGCGAACAAAATAAATTGGGGAAACGAAAAATGAAATTTATATTTGCAGAAGAAAGTTATTCAGCAGAAAAAGGAAATTAATTTGCAGAAAACGAAAGTTATCTCAGCACTAAACTTGAATTATTTGGCAGAAATTCAGGATCTGAAGTCATTATCCAATACTGTCCTTCCAGTTACCAGTCATTTGCATCCAATTTAATCATGTGAAGCAAAAAACTTAGCCAAGAAGAAGTTAATGGACTTCAAAAATCAGCCTTATACAAGATATGCTCCGATTTGCACGACCAAAAGAAAGATTATCGTAAAATAATGGAGTTTATTGAGAAAACATCGGAAGCAGACAAGGATGGCAAACTACAGTCAACATCGACGAAAGCAAAAAAAAGTATCAGAAAACTGTGAGAATTTTTTCGCCTTTTCCTATACCAGAGGATTGTGTAAACATAATTTTGGGATCAAGTATAATTGCTAGGGTTAAAACTGGAAATTTTGAGAATGCGTTGAAATTGTAAAATCAAACAAACGTTTTTTTTGTATATTTTTGTGCATCTTCAGGTTTTAAAAATTCTAAACAATTTGTACAAAATGATCAAAGATCATAAAAAGTGCCATACACATCATTATTCCGAAAATTTAAAAATGCAACCAGTCAAAACTTTACAATTTTTACTGAAATTATGTAACAACTATTATGTAACAATTTTAATATTTTTGTCACAACTCTCTAAAAGTTTTCACCTTTTTTGTTTTTACCATTTCGTTTTGTCGCTAAATTTTATGCTAACATGTAAGTTATTTCAAAAAATTTTTGTTTTAGCCAGAATTTTTCGATTCTGGAACTATAGCCTTAGTGTCAGCTCCCTACGTCTAAACTCGTCGCGCGTGTTATTTGCCGGTCTCTCTTTCCTAATGTGCAGCGCCTCTAGTGTAAGTAACTTGATGCTGCTGGACGCCTGGTCGACTATTTTCCATTTAAACTCAGACTTACCACTCTCACTACCACACTGCCTTATATGCTGCCCAACTGGGGTATCCTCTTTTCGGTGTTCCTCAATCCTTGTGGTGAGATGTCGGACCGTCTGGCCAACATAGATGGATTTGCACCCACAACATTCAAGTCTGTACACCACTTTTGATTTCAGTTCACTGGAAAAAGAGGATTTTAGAAAGGGCATAGAAGTTTTCATTTTCCTCGTCGTGAAAATTATCAGCGCATTGGTGATATCGTGCACTTTTTTGCTAATGTCTGACTGTGATTGTAATAAGAATGTCTGACTGTAAAATGTAATGTGGTAATTTTTGCATAATCTTATCTGTTCTCATTATTTTTGCTGAATGAAACTATTAAGAAAAATCTATTTAATAAGACAATTCAATTAGAGCTGTTGTACATCAAGATGGATGGTGAATCATTGCTATAATCACAGGGCTTCTTTTTCTCAGCCATGTTCTTTTTGTTTTTGCCTTCCCTGATGATCTTTTCAAGGGCATGGGATGCAACTTGCGACGACCAACTTTCCGGATATTGGTTATCCAACCACTGCTCACGGTTGCTTTTTATAGTTTTATCATATTCCTCCCTTGTTGATGTACTGCGGAAAACCAGGTGAACAGTTCGATCAATCGCACTTTTCTCATACTGAAGGGGGGCGCAGCTTCTAAAATTTAGTATGGCACCTGTATCTGTTGGTTTTTGATACCACCCACCTGCTTTTGTCAATACTAAATTGTAAATCCAAAAAAGCCAATTTTCCGTTTGTGTTTGTTGTCTCTTTTGTGAACTGTAAGTTTGGATGTAGTAAGTTTGCAGCCCGTAGCACTTTTTCAGGATCACCCTCCACTGTTCTCGTTATATCTTCAACGTAACGCAGAAATAACTAAGCTTGCTGCACTGACTTGTTTTTGTTTCCTATTACGATGCATTTTCTACAGTACCAGACGGTTTCACTTATATTTCGATATTCATTATCTGATATATCACCGCATTTTACGTGATACCAGTTCAAACAGCATTCACATTCTACACCTTTTGACCTGTACGTGACTTTCTTATTGCAATCGGGACATATTCCGTTAAAATTTTTCTCGGGCAAAAACATTTAGGGAATATCCCTCGATAGTGCAGTTTCGTACTACTTCAGCCAAAGATTTGTTAAATAACAGCAAGAGATGCTCCCATTGCCAAACCATCTTTCTGAACGTACCATATTTCATTGCACTCGAAATGGACTTGACTATCTGCCATGTTCAACAGTCTCTTCATGGTTTTCCTAGCCATTGATGGTGGTTCATCTTGCTCATACAGTTTTCCCAGAGCTATGTCTATTGCTTCTTCCAGTGGAACATTTGTATATAAACTCTTCACATCTAGAGATATCAAATTTTCATTGGGCTCAAGATTAGTGCTCTCTAAGATTTCTCTCGCATCTAGTGAGTTGGTTTCGATGTTTGCGCCCTCAATTTTCTCGAAAAACTTTGCAAGAACCTTGTTCAAGTTATAATAAGAGCTACCAGGCAAGGAGAGGACCGGTCTTAATGGGGTATTAACTTTATGCACTTTCGCCAACCCATAAAGCCTGGCGGGCTGCCCCCCAGTAGACCTCATCCTTGTGTAGAGACTCTCATTTATTTCGTCTTTTTTCCTCTTAGCCAACAACTCCTTATTGATGTCTCTTTCTATCTTCAAAACAATCGCATCACTTGTTCCTTTACTCTTGCTGAATTGAATTGAATCTAATGTATCCGACAAC